ATTAATACTCGAGAGTGAGACAGTATCGACGGAAGATCATTGATGAAAAGAGTAAAGAGTAGCGGGCCAAGATGAATACTTTGAGGAACACCGGAAGTCACCAGGATACGTTTAGATAACGAAATTCTGAAGAGAACCTTTTGTGTTCTCTTACGCAAATACCCTGAAGTCCATTTCAAGAGATTGACTGGGAAGCCGGAAGGAATAATTTATGAAGCAGTAAGGAGTGGTTGACAGAGTCAAAAGCCTTACTGAAATCAGAATAGAAGACGTCAGTCTGCATTCTTTTCTTAAACCCATCAATTACAAGCGAAGTAAACTCAATAAGGTGTAGTGGTTGTAGAACTGCGCTTCACGAACTATTGCTGGGAAGGTGAAATAATAGATCTTTATAAATGTTGCAGTTGAGATGTTATGATTCTCTCAAAAGCTTTAGGTATAGCGAATAATTTGGAAATACCTCTGCAGTTTTCGACATCGGACTTACTCCTTTTCTTATGGAGTGCGCGTAGGTAGCAAAAATTCGAACTTTCAAGAACGTTATGATTGCTTAGCTTTCCTTAGCTCCGTTCCTAGCATTTCAAATTAAGTAAATATATTTTTAAATGATGATTTTTATGAGACCGCTAGAAGCCGTCATAATTCTTCTCAAGCAGATGGTGATGGATTATTTATTTTTCTAAAATCGTGTATTACACCTCTCCATGAACTTTTTTCAATTACTTTTCGCCAAATCCCACTCTGCAGGAGTACTTTAAAAAGGTTGTAAAATAATGATTTAGCCGGGGCTGTAGAACTCGGTCTACCTGGGTCCAGCTTACAAGAAATATTAATTATATAGACGCGATGCTTAAAAAAATTGCGAAGGCTGGTTTTCATTCTTCTTTAGCAATTTGGTTAATAAAATTTGTCCGTACTTTACGTCGCAGAGTACCTCAGGGGAGTTGCTTAGGTACAGATCTATTAAATATATTTATTATTGATATAGGGAGCTGCTTCCATCTGAATATCTATTATTTGCCTTTGACCTTGAAATATTTCAACGCATTTCGGCTCTGCATGATGTAGAGGTTTTGCAGGACTTATACAACTTGTCTGAATGGTGTAGAAATAACCAGTTACCATTGAACTTAGCTAAATGCTATCATATTTAGTTAGCAAAAGTTTCTATGCTCTTCTTCCATCCTACCACATTAATGGACAATAACTTACTCGTAAATCGGAAGATTTAGACTTAAGAGTAATTTTCGATCAGCATATCAAGTTTATTATGCCAACGATCTATGCGATGTGTGAGTTTGTAAGGCGCAACTCTATCCAGTTTAAAGACCCGTTCACAAGACTGTCTCCATATTATGATTTTATGCGGTTAATATTAGAGAATGCCTCACCGGCGAATGTTAACACAGGCGAACTTCTCCTTGCCTAGTAACAGGAGTGGCTCTTGCAATTTTTACTGTAGCACTTTGGCCTCAATATGGTCCAGAGCGAGTCCGTTCACCTTGAAGAGGCCGCTGCCACGCTTTCAGTAAGAGACAGCAGTGGCGGTTTTCTTGCGTCCGTCCCCTACCTGCACGGGTTCTCTATGCTTTTGCCGCATTTTGATCAGCGAGTTGGGTATCATATCTGGAAGACAAAAGAGTGATAGCAGCGCTGCCCATAGAAAATGGCTATTTTGTTTTTGTATGTATAAACGTATGTAACAGCAGAAGGAAGCATCTCCGATCCCATAAAATATATATTATTCGATCAGCATCAATAGTCGAGTCCATCTAACCATTTCCTCCTGTTTGTTCGTCCGTGTGTATGAAGTCGACAATGACAGATAGATACAATTTGCGTCAACAAAAAACAATCCATAAAATTCGATACCTACAAGGACGCTTTCCCCCACCGTCGAAGGCCATCTTTCCCTGAAAAAGCGACTGGGGAGGGAGTACGTCCGTACCCAGGACCCCAAGATCGACAGCTCCAAATACGTGCTCTGGAAACTTACCAGTCAATATAAACGGCAATCTGCGCCAAAGTTCCCCATCCAACATCCCGATGGCACCTGGCCCAGATAGCCTCCTGCCTGCCTTCGGTAAGATTCTGGAAAAGTGCTCAACCCGAACTTCCAGTTTGGGGTTTGACTCAAGCCCGGTACCCCAGAGCAACTCGATCGGGTCACAAACTTTTTTTTGGGTGGCTTCCACAACAAGGAGTATGTAGTGGCAGCATAACTCGACATCCAACAAGCCTTCGATCGGGTGATGTACGCAGGTCTCCTCTCAAAGATAAAGAGCACATTAAATCCGCAGCTCTTTAACATCATTGCCAGCTTCCTGACTAAGAGGACATTTCAAGTGGTGCAGGATGGCGGAGCCTCTCCCACCAAGGCAGGGTTGTTTTTTATACCCACACTTTATAGCCTCTTCACGCACGATATGCCTAGGGCAAACAAATTGGCTCTTGTCAATCAGCAGGACCTCCTGGTGGCCACGTTTGCTGATACGCATCTAAGGTAATCCTTGCCCCTGCGTGGCGTTATGGGCTCCAAGTATACGGTATTGCCGCAAATACGCACCTAAACAAACTTTGCATCACCCAGGCCAAGACCTTGCAAAAAATTCCAGGAGCCGAATGTTATATTCGCACACGAGACATCGCAAAGGATCTTAAAGTTCCAATGACAGGTGACGTCGCCAACGAACAAGCAGCAAGCCACCTGTCTAAGCTCCGCAACCACACTAACGTCCTGGTAAGGAACCTGCTGAGACGAAGAAGAAAGATAACTACCCTATAGACCTGCCCAACCGACGCCTTCAGTGAAGCAGGCCCTCAACAATATAACCTAGCCAAAACAAAATAAACATAAACCTCCTACTAAATGTTAATATCTAAACTAAGCTACCTCAAACCAAAGCTATTGTTACTATAAGCCCCCGATGCTCACTCTGATAAATGTTGCTAGAAGCCAGTAACAGCATATCAGTTAACAATTAAAGAATTTAAATTTTAAAACATAAATTAAATTCGATGTCGTAACTCTATTTTTGAAAGAATGTTTAAGGTTCTAAGAGCTAGAGTCGCCAAACATAACACGTTGTTTCCAGAAAAGTATATACAGATCAAGTATCTTTCATATTATAGCTATATATAGTATATATATTCTTGATCAGCACCAATAGCCGAGTCGTTCTAGCCGTGTCCGTCTCTCTGTCTGTATGTATGAACGCAAGGATTTCAGAAACTATAAGAGCTAGAAACTTAAAATTTAGCTGTAGGTCCTCCTAGTGCCCGCGCAGATGGAGTTTGCTTCTGATATACGATCATTTTTCTCGATTCCAAGTAATCGATAAAAATTGATATCGAAATCTTGTTTGGTAAATAATAAGAGCTAAAGTCACCAGAATTGACAAGTAGCCTATAGTTTCTATAATAGTATCTATATATCAAGTATCTTTCATTTTATAGCTATTACTACCTTCCCGCTAAACTAGTCGGGAGCTCCCGACTTGGGAATTCCCTGAACCCTCTTCTACCAACACCAAATGCAGGTCGCGCTACACGCTCGTTTACTTAAGCAGTAAGAAAATACATAAAAAAAGTTTCCTCGATAGGTTTTGAACTCGTGACACACCACACAATTTGCAGCAGCCTCTACTCAACAACCACACCAAGAATTCAATCTCAACGAGAAAAAAACGGATTAAAATAGCAGCATAGAAAGCAATACAACCGCAATTGCAATGCTGTTGATAGAATTCAATAAAGACGCGTATGATTGTGTGTGTGTACATGTATATAGAAATTCTTGCAATTTATCCTAGCTGCCGCAAACACGAAGCCATCCAAAACACGTTTACATTGTGTTTCTTAACTGATCTTGATGAAATTTTCAGTAGAGCCTATTGTGCTATAGAATTTTCGTATATTCTTAAAAATACAACTGATTTAAAAATGTAGTTTATGTTGGTGGGTAGCTCAAATACGTAATGGCTTTTAACCATATGGGTTCAGGGTATAACAAAAATATATCCCTCAATAGGTCTCGAACTCGAGACAGACCACACTACTTGCCGCCGCCTCTACTCAACATATTCACCAATAATTGAGTCTTAACGAGAAAAAAGCAAATTAAAATAGCAGCACAGAAAACCAACAATCGCAATTGCAATGCTCTTGATAGAATTCAAAGCAAACGCGATGGAATGTGTGTGTGTATACAGAAATTCTTGAAATTTGCGCTAGCTGTCGCTGACACATGCGCAAACAAAACATATAACTTTTGTGTTTCTTAGCCGATCTTAATGAAATTTTCGACAGTACATCTTATTGTAGAATAGAATATGGAATATTCGTGTATTATCAAAAAGTCAATTGTATTTAAATTGTGGCTTATATTGTGGGTAAAATAAATTGGTTTCTTTACTTGATTTATAGCTATGTGGTAGTAGCGGGGAGGTGGCGATAGGTATAAAATGAAAGATACTTGATATATATATACTATTAGAATTTATATATATATACATATATATATATATATGTATATATATATATATATATTCTATAGAAGCTACATGGTAAGTTTGGTGAATCTAGCTCATATTATTTATCAAATTGTCCAAAAAACATGATTTCGATATCGATTTTTATCGATCACTTGGAAACGGGGCATAATGTATATGTATAATGTATTTGTGCAACTGTATGTAACAGGCAGAAGGAATCGTCTCCGACTCCATAAAGTATATATATATTCTCGATCAGCATCACAAGCCGAGTCGATCTAGCTATGCTCGTTTGTCTGTCCGGGACTTGGTTTTAGCTGTAGGTCCTCCTAGTGCCCGCGCAGTACGAGTTGGTTTCAGAAATTCGATAACTTGCGCCGTTTTCAAGCAATCGATATCGAAATCCCGCTTTTGGGGCAAATCTCTTAGGTTTTAAAAGCTAGTCGCCAAATTTGGCATGTAGCTTCATGAATAGTATTTATATATAATTAAAAAAGCCTCAACGCGTTACTTAAAAAAATATTACTTTATTTTAAAATAGGCCCGTTTTATGGGAATTAATTGTGGCGGATGTTTATGTCTAGTGGTCTTTGATTTAATGATCGGTTCCACACCAGAATTGTTATTGTTACCAAGAATTTATCATTTCGGGCCTCTAAGGTTTATTGTTACAAATTGGGGCGTCTCGTGTTACATATTTCAGTAGTGCGCTTAGTTGCTAGGGCTGATTATTAAGGAGTTGGAATTAGGTGCTGTGGACAAATGTGTATGTGTACTTATAGTATATGTTGTGGGTGTGGTACATATGTCACTTCCCATTCCTATGAAACTAGCCTGTCCTCAGGCGGACATTTTCGGGTATAATTTTGGATTATTGTTAATTACAATATTATCGGTTTCATTTAAGTTGCTATTGCTTACAATATTTGCATGTAATTGTATATTGATCGGTTCTTCCATTTGTGGTTCTTCTTTTTTATTCTTATACTTTACAATTATTCTTTAGGGTAATGCTTTGAACTTATAGAGAATATACAATATTATGGCGCTTATGATTATGCAAAGTGTTGTTACGGTTACAATTTGAAAAATATTGTACATTTTCGTGTGCGCTTTTACGATTTCTTTGCCTTGAATGTAAGAAAGTGGTTCTAATTTGGTTATTTCATCTAGTTCGATTGAACAGTTTGACGCTTTTATAAGGTTGTTAACTTCTACTATCATTTTTATATTGATGCAATCTTGTTTTAGAAGTGTTTTGGGTAGATTCCAAGTAATAAGCATATTAGGCTCAATATAATTGATTTCAAAATTCTTTCTTGTTTTCGTATAGCTACATTCTGTTGTGACTTGAATTAAAATCCCTGTTATGCATTTCTTTGTAATTAATTCATTTGTGTTTGCCGTGCAGGCCTGCTTGTCTTGCATGAATTACTTGTCATGAATTTCTTCTGTCAAGATGTTGTTATCCTTGTCTGGATATGGTTATATTTCAAAATCGGTGTTTGAACTATCTCTCGTAGAGTACGGGATATGATCAAAATTTCGTTTGTGTCAGTCTTTAACCATGTTGAAGTTTTTATATTTAATATTTTTTCCGAATTAACGTGTTGTAAAGTGTCATGTTTTAGTAAGTTTGGGTTGAAATTCCAAGTCTGGTAAGTTGCATTCACAACTCTATGTCTTCTATGAATTCGGTGAATTCTTGGAGGTTGAAAATGAGGAGTGCTAACCTTTGGCTTACCTAATCTACTTGATTGAAATGATTAATGGTTTCTATGCCTGTATTGACTGCTTCTAATACTCGATTTAGTTCGTTTGCTTGTACGCTGTTTTCTGCTATGTTGTTCATTTTAGATTATAATTCCTCTTTATCTTGTTGATCAAATATGCCGAGTAAATATTTATAATTTGTACCCATAAAATTAGAAAGACCGCGTTTGCTGCGTTTTGCTATTCTTATGCAGTTCATTTCTCTTTCCAGTTTGTCTTGTAAATATTTTAAATATTTAAATATTTTATACTTAACTTGGGCCGGATTGATTTCTATACTTTGGGCTTCTCGGACGTAGGTGGTTATTAGGAATAATATTAAGTATGCTGATAGTTTAAGGTGGGCTTTCTTGGCCGTTTGATCTGGAATTATCGTATATACTTAGATTACTTTCCTTTTTCTTCTTAAACTTAGATTAGTAGTGTGTGATTTTTCTACCTCTATTGCTTTCTTCAAAATGTTTATCATCTATTTGCCTGAGATTTATTGTTTTCTTGAATGGTGTTGTAGTCTTTGATCTTACTAGAGATGCTTCCTTAAATCTAGTACCTATATCGAAATCTTAACGTTTTTCATTTAAACTTGATATTTTATTAAATTTGTTTACTTGAGTGTTATATGCGGGCGTTCCGATATAAAGATATCGTTTGGTGTTCTAAGTTGGTGTTTTAAGTTGTTAATTTGTTTTCTGGATCGGACTCACTGTTTATTATTCTTAGTTTTTCGTTAACTGTTTTGTGAAATCTCTCAATATCAGAAATTCCATTTTTACTAGTGGTTATTGTTATTTGGACATTATCGGACTGTAACCATAATTGAAGTGCTGCGCACACGAATGCTGAATCTTTGTAGGCTTTAATGTCTGTTGGTTTACCCATTAGGTTGAAAATTTGGAGGATTGCTCGTTTTGTTTCGAGCCAATCTCTGCTATTAATTTCTATTAATGAAGCTTATTTGGGATATATGTCTATACAAGATAGAAACTGTCTATTGTCAATGATATAAAAATCCATGACGTATTTCTCTCGGGGGTTGAACGTTTCTGGAGTAGTTAAAAGGAGAGCTTTGTGTTTCTGTGTTCAGTTTTGGCTATGTAGCATATGTGTTCGCATTCGCATTCATTTATAATGTTTTATATCAGTTTTTGGTGATCGGTAATATTTTTCTTTGTTTACTGGATTTCATTACCTTTGTTTGGGTATTTGGGTTAATTATTTCAATGTAAGCGTTTTGGAAAACTATGAAATCGGCTTCATTGTGGAAGTAAATTACACTTTTCTTAGTGCATAAATATTCTTTAATCCATTTTTTAGCGTACTAATGGGTCATTTCCTGATAAGAAATTTTGATTATTAATGGTTTTTATGAATTCTAATTGCTTATTATAGTAATTAACTGGTCTTTCAGTGATAGAAATATGATTTTCGTTATCTTCTTATGTGCTATGTATTGTCGCTGCTAGGCTATTTGGGGTTTCACCTAGTAAATTTTCCCCTATTTTAATTCGGCGTCTGCTACATAGTTTTATTATTTGACATATTTCATGTGATGTAGTGTGTATATTAATTTTAAATAACACCCTTTATTTAAATACATACGTATGCGACATTTTGTTGCATTCAATAACAAACATAAAGCCAAAAGCGCAGAGCCACTTGAGTTTATTGACTCAGGCTCATATTACGCAGCGCGGACCGCTAGTACTCTAGCTGCCCGTTTAGCTGACGGCGCATATCACACGCTACGCTTATGTAGTGCATACCAAGAGTACCACACTCTGTCTCTTTTAATTAAGCTCTCCTGCGACAGAGCAATACATATAATAATATCTATATCTTAGGTTTTGAAGCGGACAGAGTTCCGAATAAAGAACATTCCAAAAACCCTACTGAATGGAAACAGTCGTGTTGTTTCATCTTACTTTTTTCAGTGATAATCAAACTCATTTAGCTTGATTTTCCATCTTTGTAGCTTCATATTGGGTTCTTTCATACTACTCAACCAAACTAGGGGTCTGTGATCACTAAGGATTTCGAATTTCTTTCCAAAAAGATAGGACCTGAAGTATTTAGTGGCCCAGACAATAGCTAAAAGTCTCTTTTCTATTGCCGAATAGTTGACTTCATGTTCATTTATTGTTCTGCTGGCATAGCAGATTGATTTATGATCTTGGGATAATGCTGCTCCTATGGCAGTATTACTGACATCTATGGTTAACGAGAATTGTTTCTCGAAATTATAATATACTAGTATCGGATCGGACATGATAAGCTTTAATTTTTCAAATGATTTATGTACTGTTTATCTTTGGTGATTATGATTGCACCTTTTTTCAATTTTGCTGTCATTGGTTTCGCTATTTTTGTAAAATTTGGGATTAACTTTCGGTAAGAACCGCAAAGTCCTAAAATTTTTTTGATTATCTTCGCTGTTTTAGGTATTGGGAATTTTTGTATTGCTTTAGATTGGCCACCCTTAGTTTTGTGAATAATTCCTCAATGACAATATATGTTCCTCCAAAGAAGTGGAGTATCCATATCCTTGTAGTTCAAATCTTCAAGGAGATTGTTCAGCGTTGAAACGTTGCAGGTGCATTTTTCCATTTAAACGGCATACGAGAGTACTCGTAATGTTTATTTTCGTAGAATAAGCAGTCTTAGGAATTGATTTTTTATCCATTTGGATCTAATTAAAAACCTTTCAAGAGGTCAATGGTAGTGAAATACTGACATTTACCAAGTATGTCGAGTATATATCCATTGCTGGTATAGGGTATTTGTCATCAACTGTGACTTCATTAAGGCTTCGATAGTCAATGAATATCCTAAATTTTGATTTCCCGGATGCATCCCTCTTTTTGGGTATGATCCAAAGAGGCGAACAATAAGGTGATTTCGTTTTGCGTGTTATCCCTTGGTAAATCATATCTTTGATTTCGTTATCGACTTCTTGGTCGAATGTTTGGGCATATTTATACAGTTTTTTGTAAACCTTGTGTACTTGTGAAAATCAAATGTTCACCCTCTCGGTACTGAATGTCACCAAACTCAAGAAAGACTTTAGTTAATTTGCATTTTTCTTCATCGTTTAGATGATCTAGGCGGAATTCATTGAACTCTGAAAGCTCATTGTTGTTGGCGAACACTAATTGCTCGTCATGAGATGGGGGTGGAACAAGATATCCGGGATCTGATTCGTCCCTTGGAAATTCAATTTCTGAATTGTTTTAAATGTAAATGTGAAATCTTTAATTCGTACAGTTTTGTTTTTGTAATCTATTATGGCTTAAAAAAATTATGTAAAAAAATTTCTGATGAGTGGCGCAAAGTTTTCTGGGTTTCAGCGGTATGTGTACTTCTAATTGACAGTTTTTTATAGGGAATTTTGGGAAATCTTCTTTCATTAAATTAACAGACGACCCCGTGTCTAATACGCATTTTAGAATTTTATTATTTTTATACCCAGAACCCATTAAAAATGGGTGAAAAGGGTATAATGTATTTATGCAAATGTATGTACAGTCAGAAGGAAGCATCTCCGACCCCATAAAGTAAACATATTCTCGATCAGCTTTAATAGCCGAGTCGATCTAGCCATGTCCGTCCGTATGTATGTATTAAAGCAAGGATATCAGAACCCATGAGAGCTAGAGACTTGAAATTTTAGCTGTAGGTCCTCCTAGTCCCCGCGCAGATCGAGTTTGTTTTCGATATTCGATAAATTGTCCTGATTCGAAGTAATCGATAAAAATCGATATCGAAATCCTACACAAATATTCCATGGGACAATAAGATGTACTATCGAAAATTTCATTAAGATCGGTTAAGAAACACAAAAGTTATATGTTTTGTTTGCGCATGTGTCAGCGACAGGTGCGCAAATTTCAAGAATTTCTGTATACACACATACATTCCATCGCGTTTGCTTTGAATTCTATCAAGAGCATTGCAATTGCGATTGTTGGTTTTCTGTGCTGCTATTTTAATTTGCTTTTTTCTCGTTGACTCAATTATTGGTGAATATGTTGAGTAGAGGCGGCGGCAAGTAGTGTGGTCTGTCTCGAGTTCGAGACCTATTGAGGGATATATTTTTGTTATACCCTGAACCCATAAAAAATGGTTAAAGGCCATTACGTATTTGAGCTACCCACCAACTTAAACTACATTTTTAAATAATTTGTATTTTTAAGAATATACGAAAATTCTATAGCACAATAGGCTCTACTGAAAATTTCATCAAGATCAGTTAAGAAACACAATGAAAACGTGTTTTCATGGATGGCTTCGTGTTTGCGGCAGCTGGGAAAAATTGCAAAAATTTCTATATACATGTACACACACACAATCATACGCGTATTTATTGAATTCTATCAACAGCATTGCAATTGCGGTTGTATTGCTTTCTATGCTGCTATTTTAATCCGTTTTTTTCTCATTGAGATTGAATTCTTGGTGTGGTTGTTGAGTAGAGGCTGCTGCAAATTGTGTGGTGTGTCACGAGTTCGAAACCTATCGAGGAAACTTTTTTTTATGTATTTTTTACTGCTGAAGTAAACGAGCGTGTAGCGCGACCTGCATTTGGTGTTGGTAGAAGAGGGTTCAGGGTATTCCCTAGTGGGGAGCTCCCGACTAGAGCCTCTTACTTGTTAATTTTTAAAAAAATGCTAATTGTATCCCTTCCCCTATTACAATATCTATATGAGTCAAAAAAAATCATTTTTTCGGCTAAAGCTTTCTGATTAGTATGTGTATGTATGAGCATGCATGTATGACTAAACATTATTTTATATGCATTTTTAAATGAAATCAATAAAATGTCATTTCACGGTAAACATCATTTCCTTTACATTTCCAACATCTTCTTTAAAAATCAATATCTTCATTAAAGCTTACGGAAGAATGTTATCATATGTTAGTATATATATTGTTATACATACATATGTATGTATGTTTGTACATATTCATTTTTTTCCACATGAAGTAGAAGACCGCAAAGTGGAACTTTTTAGCAGTGTTATTATAAATCTGCGCGCCTTATTTAAGAATTATATTCCATAAGTATTTAATATTATTACATAACTTTAATAATTTATAATGCTGCCAATGTAATATTAGAAGAAATATCCAAAGGAGGTTAACTGATACATTAATAATTATTATTATAAGATTGATATTGTTATGTATGGCATTCTAATAATTAATTGAGTAGCCCGCGCATTCTTTTAGCGGAATTTAAATTATTTTAAAAGATTTGTTTTCATGAATAAAGAGTATCTTTTCTCTAAAATTTTAAGTCTTTCATTCTTTTTGATCCTGTCTCTTACTACACTTTGGTAAACAACACTTTATAATTCAAAAATGTGGTCTCATTATTTTGAGACATTTTTGTTAGTATTCAAATCTAAGCTATTTAACGTTCCTAAAAGTTCTTGTTTACAAAAATTATTTAACATTTACACTTTTGCAAATAAATAAGGGATACCCACGAGCTATGTACATTAATGTTAGTAAACACAAAGACAATACAAAAACAAGAAAGAAGGGGTATCTTCGGCACGCCGAAGATTTAATACCCTAGCAGATCGAACCTTTTCTATTTATATTTTGTTCGTATCTAAGAAGTACAGGACAAATAGTTAATGCCAAGTATGGTTAAGATATATTTAAAAACAAGTTTTTTTTTACAAGAACTTCATTTTTGACCGATCGTTCCTATGGGAGCTATATGATATAATGGTCCCATCCGGACTGTTTCGACATATATACTGCCCGTAAAAGAAAGACAGACATATACAAAGTTTCATGATGATACCTTTAATACGGAGAGACAAGTTCCAATAGAAACAGACAGACGGACATGGCTATATACACTCGGCTGTTGATACTGCTGAATGGTACCTATAAAAGAATATACATACTATGCGGTGCATATTTAGAGACAAAATTAAAACACCCATTGCAAGGGTATAAAAAACTGCACATAAGTATATGAGAATAGTGAAGCTCATAAATGCTGAGTTAGATGAAAATATCTTGGAAAACAGAATATTTTGTCAAATGAACTCATTTTTTAACCGATTCTTCCTATAGTGTTTTATAATATATTTGGGCAGCATAAATGCTGAGTTTGGCTTACTTATACAAATAAACAAAAAGCTTTCCATACAAGAACGAACTTTTCGACCGATCGTTCTTATGAACAGTTATTTAATAGATGATATAGATGTCCGATGTTCATAGCGTTTTGCAAATACATGTATAAAAATTAGATTAGTTTGTATATTCTACACGTATTAACTAGGTTTTCGAGAGACCATCAATGTTCTTCAAAAATTGAAGGTATCAAAATATATTTTAAGAGTATTTGATTTTAAACATATAATAAAGAGAAAAATAAAATAAATTGCTGCTAGAATAAACAACCAATACAAGCTATATTCATGCAAGCGGTTTATTGCGAACTTGTTTTTAATGTTATTTGCATATCCAATTGTGCTTGAGCAATGTCCCCCAGAGCAGACTGGATTTTTTCCAGCAAAAGTTCTCCTTTTTGAACAACTTGTTCAAGTTGTTCAGCTGTTTCTTGGTTTTCTAACTCTAGTCGCTTAAGACTACAATTTTGTAATTCAATGGAACTGTCTTCATTAGGCAAAGACTCAATTAAAGTATCAATGTCTTTAGCACATCGAGCTATTAACTGTGCAAAAAGCTGAGCATAATCCTCCTGAGGTGGGTTTTGTAAGGGTGTCTGTGAGCCTGTCCTGTCAAAATTTGCAAACTTGCTGGGGTAGGATGTCTGCTGAATGACACCAATAGCATTGCAGAAGTGCTCTGCTTGCTAAAACAATCACAATATTGTTAGCTACACACAAAGTAATGTTACTCAATAGTCGCATACTTGGTTTACGGTATCCTGCAGTTGCGTTAGCCTGTCTGCCATAACTAAGTAATATGTTTTAATCCTTCTTATATATTTTATTTAATTTCTACTATTAAGACAAATAGTTGGTTTAGAGATGGTAGCTACACTTGTTGTTCGATGATATCGTTTGTTACCATGCGATCTTAAATGCCAATTCGAGATGTCTACTATCGATTGCATTTATATATATTAATAGGGTAATGCTACGGTGAACCCTCCACACAAATGGAATGCCCAAATAATTCGGGGATGGTATCTATTCCACGTAGTTTTTTCTCAAGATTCCATTTACGGCGGCGGAACTTAACTTTATAGCGTATTTTATTAAATATAAGCAATTAAAAGTGGCGATAGCGCGGTGGTAGCACGATTGTAAAGTATCGTGCAGCAAACGATACTACTTCACGATGAATTTCCGATAATTTTTGAACTATCGTCAGCGCTTTGAGATGAGCGAATGAGAGCTGCTAACTATCGATGATGAATCATTAAAAATATCGAATTTTCGATTTGGCGGAGGCTATTTTGCATTTAAAGTGTATGATTCTAAAATACAAAAAATACTATTCACATGTGCAATATTTTGTTTTCAATAATTAAATATACATTTAACTTTAAATTTAACTTGAACATTTTGTAATTAATGTAAGCTATTAAATGTGGTTATATAGTAAATGTAAAAAATAATAATATATATAAAAATTGATTTATTAATTATATTTATGTTTAATATTATTAATAGAATTTTCGCGTTTACAATTCGGCTTTAACCTTCGTTTGAAGTGAACCGGACGACGGTAAGCAACAAAATATCACTCATCCGAAACATCCCAATGCTAAGTCGATTGCAACAGATCAATCAATATAATTTTTAGTAGGTTTCTGCGTCTGCACGTCTAAGTCAACTAGCTTTCGCGTTATTAAGGCACACATCGCATTCATACGGACGTTCCTTGGTATGTATACTGTGGATAACAATAATAAGTTTGTATTAGGATATATGCGGCTTATTTAACATGGAGTGAAAAATTCAGTTACCAATAATGTCAAAGAATGATGCAATGAGTCACAAACGCAAAGTCCTGTTGTCTCTAAACTAAGGGATCATATATTAATACCGAATTAAAAGATGCATTAATAAAAAGATTTACACCAATCAACATTATCAAGATATATATATTTAATAAAATAATTGTTTAAAAAATCAAACAAAAGAATATTATTTATAGATTTCGAATCAGTTCAAACAACGTAGGCATTAAGGGGCATTATGACCTAAGCTTGAGGCCAATGTGGAATTTCTGTTGCTGGGTCAGACGCATCTGTTAAATTTTACCACAAATATCTCAAACATTCATTATCGTCGCCTTGGGTCGCTGTTGCACTTTGCGTGTTAACCTGCGTGACATCTGCAAAAATTCAAATTGCAATTGAGAAAACTACCTATTTTCGTAGATTAGCTGATTGATCGTGGCGGGTGCTAACATTTTAACCAAGATTTCTGGCCATATATATTCTCCTTCGTTGGGATTGCTTGGGGATATCCAACAGACACTTTATCTAATTGTTCAAAAAATAATATAAGAAACAAGCTAAATTTGGATTCTTGTAAAATTATAATAATAATTACTTGCGCGTGCCTAAACAATGCGCACGCATATATGTATGTATGCGTGCACATATGATCACACTTTACACTGATTATCACACATACAGAGTTTGTACGCATACACTTGTACTTTATTTTGCAAATAAGGTTTGAATGTATGCATACATGGGATACACCAATTGGAAATGATCATGCTTACGGACTAACTTATCTATGTACATATGTGTTAGAGTATTTACACTAACACAATATGATTGTGCTTTGTATCTCCTACGAGTTCTTAGAAACGTATGAATGCTTGTGAGCATATGCACATTTGTAGTTTCTTTAATCGAAATCTATTCGCGAGTGCATGTTACTACTTAGCTGGAAAATACATTTTGGTAATGCATTTTTAGAAATAATAAATGATCAGGAAAAATTAATGTCCTGGTTGAGAGACCACGGACTTATTTTAAAATCCAAGAACTGTCCTGAGTGTGGCGAGCCCTGCAAGTGTGTCACATTAAAGGGCGATTTTTTTTTCGGTGCAGGTTGACGCACACTTTTGAAAAAAATAAAAAAAAAATTACAAAAAAATGTAATTTTTTAGAAAGTGTGCGGGCGAACACGTTCTTCGCGGGATCGCGTCTAACTATCAGGAAAATTTGCCTTATTGTATATTACGAGCTCACGGGAGTTGAACCCATAACTGCATTTTTAAAAAATTAATTCTCAATGTCATATGAAACAATAGTCAATTGGCGTAATTATTTGCGCGAAGTATTTCAGGATTGGGTTGCAGAGTTAAGCCTTGAAAAGCTTGGAGGAGAGGGCAAAGTCGTAGAAATCGACGAAAGCCTTATTTCAAAAAGAAAAAATAACTGTGGGCGGATTATCCAAGGCCAATGGGTATTTGGTATATATGAAAGGGATACCAAAAGGCTGTACATCGTTCCTGTCGAAAACCGCACCAAAACCACGCTGCTTCGCGTTATAAAAGAAAAGATCGCGGATGGCACAACCATCATTTCGGATTGTTGGTCTTCATACCGCTGTCTAAGCGATGAAGGTTTTGTGCACCTGACAGTGATTCATTCAATGAACTTTGTTGACCCAACTACAAAGGGGCATACACAAAATATTGAAAGAAAATGGAGATGCATGAAGGATAAAATTCCGAAATATGGGCGTTCAAAAAAACATTTGACAGGATATTTAGCAACCTACGTTTTCAAAGCGCACTATCCAAACCACATGGATAGATTCCACCATGCTTTTACAGCCATTGCAAAAATCTACAAAATAAAGTACAAGTGTATGCGTACAAACTCTGTATGTGTGATAATCAGTGTAAAGTGTGATCATATGTGCACGCATACATACATATATGCGTGCGCATTGTTTAGGCACGCGCAAGTAATTATTATTATAATTTTACAAGAATCCAAATTTAGCTTGTTTCTTATATTATTTTTTGAACAATTAGATAAAGTGTCTGTTGGATATCCCCAAGCAATCCCAACGAAGGAGAATATATATGGCCAGAAATCTTGGTTAAAATGTTAGCACCCGCCACGATCAATCAGCTAATCTACGAAAATAGGTAGTTTTCTCAATTGCAATTTGAATTTTTGCAGATGTAACGCAGGTTAACACGCAAAGTGCAACAGCGACCCAAGGCGACGATAATGAATGTTTGAGATATTTGTGGTAAAATTTAACAGATGCGTCTGACCCAGCAACAGAAATTCCACATTGGCCTCAAGCTTAGGTCATAATGCCCCTTAATGCCTACGTTGTTTGAACTGATTCGAAATCTATAAATAATATTCTTTTGTTTGATTTTTTAAACAATTATTTTATTAAATATATATATCTTGATAATGTTGATTGGTGTAAATCTTTTTATTAATGCATCTTTTAATTCGGTATTAATATATGATCCCTTAGTTTAGAGACAACAGGACTTTGCGTTTGTGACTCATTGCATCATTCTTTGACATTATTGGTAACTGAATTTTTCACTCCATGTTAAATAAGCCGCATATATCCTAATACAAACTTATTATTGTTATCCACAGTATACATACCAAGGAACGTCCGTATGAATGCGATGTGTGCCTTAATAACGCGAAAGCTAGTTGACTTAGACGTGCAGACGCAGAAACCTACTAAAAATTATATTGATTGATCTGTTGCAATCGACTTAGCATTGGGATGTTTCGGATGAGTGATATTTTGTTGCTTACCGTCGTCCGGTTCACTTCAAACGAAGGTTAAAGCCGAATTGTAAACGCGAAAATTCTATTAATAATATTAAACATAAATATAATTAATAAATCAATTTTTATATATATTATTATTTTTTACATTTATTATATAACCACATTTAATAGCTTACATTAATTACAAAATATTCAAGTTAAATTTAAAATTAAATGTATATTTAATTATTGAAAACAAAATATTGCACATGTGAATAGTATTTTTTGTATTTTAGATTCATACACTTTAAATGCAAAATAGCCTCCGCCAAATCGAAAATTCGATATTTTTAATGATTCATCATCGATAGTTAGCAGCTCTCATTCGCTCATCTCAAAGCGCTGACGATAGTTCAAAAATTATCGGAAATTCATCGTGAAGTAGTATCGTTTGCTGCACGATACTTTACAATCGTGCTACCACCGCGCTATCGCCACTTTTAATTGCTTATATTTAATAAAATACGCTATAAAGTTAAGTTCCGCCGCCGTAAATGGAATCTTGAGAAAAAACTACGTGGAATAGATACCATCCCCGAATTATTTGGGCATTCCTTATGTGTGGAGGGTTCACCGAATCATTACCACCGTAGCATTACCGTGCCATGCAACAACGATACCACTGCACAATGAATTTCCGATGGTTTTGAGCTATCGTCAACGGTTCAAGATGAGCGAATGGCAGCTGCTAACTATCGATGACGAGTCTTTGAATATTTAAAATGTAAACTGTTTGCATCTCCAATGTTTTGTATTCAATATTTAAGAATACAAATTTAATGAAACTTCAATATTTTTTAATTCATGTAAGCCATTAAATGAAGCAATTAAATTTCCAAAATATTAATATGAATAACACTTGAAATGTTAATTATACTTCAGTGATTCAATATTAACAAAGCAGGGAGAAAGAGATGCACAAAGCGCGCAAAGCAATGAGGGGGAGCGAGGCAAACTCTGCACATGCATTCACACATATGTTTTTGGGCTGTGAGGATTTAAAACTAACATACATATATTAAGAAATAGCATCAGCTGCAGCGACGCTCTGCGCTGAGCGAGACGCGGCTTCATACTGAACGTTCGGCTTTCGAGGCCGGCCGCCGGCGTTCGGCTGCCACTCTCAGCAGTCTTACTCTATCTGGGCACACTAAAATGGTCGCGGGCATCCATGGGACTCAGTCGTTGCGATTTATCGTTTGAAATTCTACGAATAGGTTAACGTTTTAAGGAACACATTACATTCGTAAGGGCTCTCCTTGGTATTTGTGCAATGGGCAACATTAATTATTTTGAATTAAAGGAAATAACGACTTATGAGTACTTATCGATAATGCTTGCTCTTCGTGGAGCGATCTGCAAAGGCGGCAGGGCAAAACTTTCAATTATTAAGTCGATTGTGTATTGTGAGCTATGGAAAACTTACTCACACTCGTGCGGCCTGACGAATTTTTGAATGAAATAAATGTCGCTAAAAAGATTCAATGTACTCGCTGTCGCCTTGTGTCGCTATTGCACTTTGCGCGGCTGCTCTTGCGACACAAGCAATGGCTCAGGTTACCGTTGCTGACCATTACAACTGAACTGTAGTATTTGATGTATCAGCACCATGAGTGCAATCATTGGCACATACGAGGGTTGCTTATTAATTACAATATTATATCATGCGAGTGTTTTTTTGTTAACTACTCCCACCTTAGAATTATGGCAGTCGTCGGTTATCTATCGACGAGACCGCTATGACCAGGCTGCGCGTCGATGACGCAATGATGACGGTTATGCGCTCAAAGATGACGAGATGTGTGCAATTGGTTGCTGTCTCTGGACCGTCGTTAGTGCTGATTCGAGCTGTGCTTACATTGATGATCATGGTTGCATTATCCAAATAAGTAATGGCTTTTAAACGTCGGTCACGTGGTCAAATGTCGTGGCTAACAAATCTGCAGAATGATGCGTAGGTGGTTGTAGTTGACTGCTAGTTCGTCGTCGCATTGAGATACGGTGTCATCGTGTAGGAAGGTGTGACACGGGGAAGATGGTGACCATTCTACATATAAACTTAATTTTAGGGTATTCGATTAATATATGGGCAAATTGTTCGGACTAGAGAACCTTTATGTTAGATTCCGCCATCAGACTTACTGCGGGACTCTATGTGTAAGGACTTTAAATCATCATGGTTAAAAATAGTAGGGCTTATAATATTTAATTAAGCAAGCGTAATTGTAAGCATTCAATTTAGTATTTCGGTTCATAGAATTTTTGTTTCTGGCTAATAATGCTTCGTATAATTGTGGAGTGTCAACTAATTCGTTTTTCTTGCTTTGAATATCAGATTTACAGTATCGGTGAGCAGCTTATACGTTTTTACGTTTCTGTATTTATTACTACTTGACTATTGTTTGACTCAAAAAGTTGTGATTCGGTCATTCTAATTTTTTTAAACTGTGGTATCTGTTTTGCTATTTTGTCTGCGATATTTGAAACTCCCGTTATATTACTGGAATACCTGATGAAGTCTCTCTGTTCCCATACAAATTAATTGCCGACTACTACTAAGTAGTATGTATTTGGAATGCGAGTAGTCAGTAATTCGGGCCTTCCTTGTCACTGGTAAGAATATGAGAGTGCCAACAAGCCTAAAAGAGGAAAGGGAATTAAATCTAAAATGAAATTTTATCACTTTTGTATACCATTTTTTGGAGTGGCGAAAGAACTGCTTCTCGAGGTTTTCCTTGTGGACCACACTCCTCTTAATGAGAACATGTAATTTTTGGAAAAAAATAGCCAATAATAATGATAGGTGCTTTTCAATACACTATCGTCCGCTGCGTCGTCCAGTGGTTGCACGATTGAGTACTTCTGCCGTTTGCAGAAGCTTCGGTGCTCCAGTCGAAAGAATGCTTAAATTCTGGTTACATGAGAATAATATGCCTGAATGTTTTGCAGGCGTTCAAACGCATTTTCGCTCTTAAGTATGTGTATTGATGGTCTTGTGATTGAAGCGAAATATTTGAAAAAACAAATATAAGACTAAATTGAGTCTTGGGCTCAATGTATTCCTGTATAAATTTGACTCTTCCAGGGTCTGTTTTTGCCCAGTGTTTTGAAAACTTTGTTTATTCGTGGGAAACTTTCATTTCATCACATATTGCGCTGTTTTATGGGGACCTTGATGTTCTAATAATTCTATCTTTCAGCAGCTGTTTGATTTCGTTGCTTACGAAATCGGCCACTCCAATGAGGTTGTGGGTAGGGTTTCAAATATACCGGTTCAATATCTACTGTACGGATGTTGGCAATGATTGAGGTGTTAAAGGGCAGCGCCTAGTTAGAGGTCGAAAGCGCCTTTATCCTCTTAAGTAACATTTTCTTTCTTCTTTTACAGAAGTTGGTATCACAATTTTGGCACTTTAAAACTCTTACTCTCTAAGCAACTAATTGAGTTTCGGACCCGAACAAAAACGAAGTCGACGGGGGACCTGATCCACAGAAAATGAATGGCTACCTATTTTTTCTAACTGTCCCATCTATATACTGTGAGTAAGAGTGAGACCCACTCTGCACATACACACATATTTTTCTTGGCTATAAGGAATTATAAACCAACAAACATATATTCTGAAAGAAAATCAGCAACGTTTTGCGCTGAGCGAGATCCGGCTTGGACTGATCGTTCGTCTCGTGTTTCCACTGTGATGAATCGTTACCGCTCCTCTGTGTTGATTACAATAAGCATATAGGGCATTCAGTTCGGTATTCTTTTCGTCTCCTCTTCTACTCTAATATATAAAGTAGATAATCTATAGCTTTAGTTAGTATTCGTTTTCGTTACACCCCTCGGCCGGATGGGCAGGAGGTGGGATGCAGCCAGTTGCATCGAAAAACAGATCGGAAATGCGCAGATCTCGTTCGATCGCTCATGGCATGAAGGAGCACGTGTTATGCTACCATCGGTGCATTATCTTCTATTAAGATTTTACCTGTTTGGACGTACATTTTGGGTTAAAATAAAGGTCGTTCGGATTTATTTGTTCCAGTAGCCGAAACACATAGTGTCCAATTTATTCGCACATATAAGAAGGTTTTTAGACATCTTCAGAACTTGGTCCAACCGGTGAATCATCTGCATCAAAAGTTCAAGTCTCTGGAAATTTGACAATTATCCTGATGACTGAGTTAACCTGGCACTCAGGATAAACATATATGTTATCTCTGTATGTAACTATACAGAAAGCAAACGTATTTCAGTTATATCAGCAATTTGCAAACGGATATAACTAACTCATCAAGAAAAGCAATCAACAAGTTGCCCACATACAATAGCATAATCATGACAACCTGGGTAATAACCGAAATCCTTCTTCACCAGCTGTACTCTTATATGCACGTCCGTACATTATGACTTGCACGCTCGAAAAAAGAAAGATTTTCTTCGTCCTCTAGCGCACTTCACGTGCTTTTCTCATTCTATGTTCTTTTCTGTCTCCTAGCACCGTTAGTGAGCACACAACACTCAGATAATGCTTGGTAGAGACTATATTCTTTGTGTCATACTAAGCTTTCAGCAGCAACCCTAATACAAAACGAGAAAGAATAGCTATTTTCGGCACGCCTAAGATTTAATACCCTTGCAGACCCAACCTTTTCATAATGCTCATAGTGCTTTGCCCGTATCTAAGAAGCACAGGGAAAATAGTTAATGCCGAGTATGGTTAAGATATCTTGAAAAACAAGAAATTGTTCATACAAGACCGATCGTTCCTATGGCAGCTATATGAAATAGAGGTCCGATGTTGATTGGATTTTGCATATGTATATAAGTTACGAGTATCTTGAAGAAACAAAAAAATTTCCATACAAAAACCTACTTGTCGACCGATCGTTCTTACGGCAGCTATATGATATAATGGTCCGATCCAACCGGTTCCGACATATGTACTGCGTGCAACAGAAAGAGGCACTTCTGCAAAGTTTCATGATGATGGATTTAAAACTGAAAGACTGGTTCGCATAGAAACAGTCAGACGGACACGGCTATGTTATATAGACCAGGCTGTTGATCTGATCAAGAATAAATATACTTTATGGGGTCGAAGATTTCATCTTCTATATTTTTTTAGTTTATTACCAACACTTAATCGTTAAGGTTTGAAATTAAAAATTACAATATTTAAAAGGATCTTCAAAATATATATTTCCGGTCAGCAACAATAGCCGAGTTGATTGAGCCCTGGCTCTTTGTCTGTCTGACCATCGGCAAAAACATGTTAAACGTTTCGAAACTATAAATACGAATGTAGTCCGTCAAATTATGTTACGGAACTGCTTGTTTCTCTTCAAGCCGCGCCTGCTGGCTCATCGGTTCTCTGGGTGTAGTCCCATCCCTAGCCCGCAGTCCGCACAATCAATATCACAGCGAACATACCTCTATAACACAATCAATAAACATCAAACAGCTGGAACAACTAACAAATGAACAAAATAAATAGCTGTGACAACAAGTAAATGTAAGCAACAGAGGTGAAACTCTGATATAAATTAACAACAAAAAAACTATTTTCCAGATCGGGTCCCGGTTCCGGACCCAGAGTCATCTACCCTTCGCCATCACCAGCCCGTGTCGGCAGTCATGCCCCCTCTCCCCATCATCAGTTAATTAGCCGGACAATGCTTTCCTTCAAGCCATTCGTGTAATTGGTTGCATTTCTTATAGTTATGAACAATTAATATTATTTCTTATCTCATTTATCTTTACAGGATATCTCCACTCTGCTATTAGTAATTTACTGCAAGCGGACTTAACTCTTCAGGTGCGTGTTTTTCTTTGCTTTGTCTTATAGTTATAACAATTGATCTTATTGCTCATTTGATTATCTTTTTACAGAATAATCAAATGGAACAGACGACGAAAACACTGCCAAAGTTATTGCCATTCGCAGGTAAAAAACGAAAAGATACGAATAAAAGGTATTTGTTGCACAACTGAGGGAACAGTACCCACTGAAACAAATATGTATATAAATGTGCCCCCAAAAAAAAATTATGTCGAGTGGCATGTTAATATGTGTGTTAATGCGCTCAATATAACTTGCCTGCCTAAAGAGCTCTCTGGGTGGGGCGATAGGGCGATAAGACGTGATATACTGTACATATGGTACATATGTATGTAAGTGGGTATTTTTCGTGCAAAAGTTAACAAAAATCTTGCCCTCACTAACGGAGATCATTGAAGTTTTTCTTAAAAGGCAATAGATATAAATATTCATATATATACGTATGTACACATAAGTCTAACAAACAAAACTAAATTTAATAAATCATCTCTCTTTCAGGGGGATCAAATACGAGTCTGCTTCTGACGCTGCCTGTTGCTCGGGGCGAGGATGTGCGTTATAGAACGGACTCACTCTTATGATGTGGGCGTGGTCTCGCCCGTAGCCGCTTCTTAGCCTATCCTTCGGGATAGCGCCGGTTCGTTAGCTTAGCTTTTATTTATTCGTTTCGAGTCGCTTGTATGTTTAAAGATTACATTTCTGTACCTCGGCACAACTGATTTTACACGGGCTATTTATTTTTATTGGGCCCCATTTTAAATGCGTATAGGTGAGTTTAATCTTTTATTATATATATTATTATTAATAAACGTTTTAAAGGTATTTTGCCAAAAATTGAATTGAATGAAAAAATAGAACTGTCACTGGTGCGTTTGCGCAGTCTTGTACCGCCTCTCAAAATTGACTCCCTGTTGCTATGGGCAGCAACGAAATTTAGGCCCAAATTGGCCTACCCATTAACTCATATCTTTTGTGCAGTGTTACCCATAGGCACGATCGGCATGGGGAAATCATCGACCGTGTAGGCCAAGGGCATCATAAGCGGCATATTTTCGCTCATTACCCTGCGAGCGCATTGGGCGGGCACCCGCCTGTGCTCTCCCACCTTTTTTTGCTCAAGGCATTGGATTCTGAGCTAGGCGTTGCGAAATTTGGGGCGCTCTAAGGTGCTTAGGGCCCTCACCGATATATCGATACCTCCTAGTGACTCCCCGTGCAACATCACTATGGTGACGGGAGCCTTGGGAGCAATGGGTTCGACGTCTGATCTCCTGCCTCTGTCTGTGCCAAGCCTGGCCAGCCTACCTATTTCCTTATACTGAGCCGCGCCCAACTTGAGGCACACCACGACCTTAATCTACACACGTATATCCTTTGCATGAAACACTCCCCTTGCAAGTCTTCTAGCAAGTATGAGTTGTATCCTACTCGACGCAATTCTCTGGTCTTTAGGAATTTCTTGTCGTTAAAAGCCTTCCCTAAATCGCTTAGTACGTAGTTGCATCTGTAAAATTGTTGGCCTGGTTCCGGGAACACTCGGGCTCGGGCATTATACTGCCGACGACTGCGTTCGTAAGCCTCGAGTAGCAGTTTTTGGACTCGCTGTCTAATAAGTTGTATTTTGTCTGCTGGGTGCAAATAAGAAACCTCATGATCACCCAGATACCCCAACCTACGAGCCAATTTGTCACTTCTCCCGTTTAGGAACATGTTATGTCCAAAATCGGGAAAGAATGGCGTCACCCCTGTCGCCGTGTGTATGGCATTGCGTATAGATACTTCTATTTCTGGAAGGTAGAGGTCCCACTCGCGGTGAACTTGCTCCAGAAACGCTCTGATTGCCGACAACGCGGTACGATTAACTCTTTCACTTGCATTGCTCTGTGGCGCGTAGACTGCAGTGCGCATATGCGATATGCCGAAGACTGCGATCATGTTTTGGATATGAACTGTCGTCCGTTGTCGACCACCACGAAGATCCAAGCGTGCCATTGCTTCGAACGTGGATACAGTTTTTAGAATGGTCGCTCGGTCACTACCTCTTTGCCTAGACCCTCTTGCATGCGGAAGTTCGGTGCTTTGATTTCCTTGCATATCGCGCACTGTCTTACCCAAACTTGACTAGCCATGCCGGCCAGTAAAACTGCCGAGGTGAGGTCTCGAGTGTTTTTACGACACCACCATGACCAGCCGTCTCATCTACATGAGCCTTTGCTTTTAAGACGGCTATCAAAGAGCTTCCACACGGTGCCTTCTAACTCGTCTTCTAGGTGGAAGGATTCCATGCGCTTAAAAAGCGAACTGCCCTCAACCTTCAGGTCTGGTAGTTTGTCCTGATTCGAATGTACCTGTTCGAGCAACGCCTTATATACCGCTGACTCGAAATCGGGGGTCTCAAATTCTAGAAGACCTACTGTAACCTAGGACAATGCTTCGGCTGTGCGCGATAGAGTCTCGGCTCTTTCATGGACATCAGTCATTTTAAGCTTGCGTGGTCAGTGATGCAAGATGAAAAAGGTCTGTACGGTCTGAACTTTTTTATTGCCAGTATCGACGCTACTCGACGACGGAATAGTTCCGTTGGTGTTTGTTCAACGTGGCTGAAAAAAAGGCTATGGGTGGTTCCAGATCATAGGTGTCTTCTTGGAACAACACCGCTCCCACGCTAAGCTGAGACGCATCGCACTACACTTGGAAAAGTCCCCGTACACGAGTACTGGGGCCGTGGGCAGTGCGGTCTTCAACTGCTCAACGGCTTGTGTTGCCTCGTAACTCAACACAAACATGCCGCAATTTTTTTTAACATTTCGGTCAGTGGTGAGACCATGGTTGCGAAATCGCACGACCGAGGTACGGGGATTCGTTTGATAGCTATAACCCGTTCGGGGTCCATGCGAAGCGTGCCATCACTAATAATAAATTCGAGACATTTTAATGCCTTGAAGCTAAATTTGTGCAGTACGATTGAGAACTTCGCTTCCTTTAAGCATTGCCCCACTTGTCGCAGGTATCTTAAGTGTGTTTGAAAATGTAGGGAAGTAACTAGTAGATCGTACAAATACTCAAAGACGTTGGACCATAGCTCGGTTAGAATCACCTTGTCGAAATAGCATGACTTGTATGGGGGCCTACCTGGTATGGTAAATGCGGTATAGGGCTCGCTTTTGTCGTCTAGTTCGACTTCGCGACTTCGATACGTGAACTTCAGATATACACTGGGGATGTAGTAGGTCTGGTGTATCCTAGATAGGATGCCTTCTATACAGGGTAGTGAATACGCGTCTTTCACTGTCAAATTGTTTAACTTGCGTGCATCGAGACAAAAGCGGTTTTTACCCGGTCTTCGCACAACTGTTGTGCAGTTACTCCATGGACTGTTGCACTCTTCTATAACCCTTAAACTCAACATTTTGTCCACTTCATCATATACTACTTTCTGCATCGATGGCGATAACGAGTAGGGTTTATCTTTGAATGGCACCTTCCACTAAGTCGACAGTGTGTTCCTAATCCGCTACGTTCACAAGACAAAAACGCCCTCCAACTCTATCGTTTTTTCCCTAGACAACTCCCATGAATCTGGCTCACTTTCGAGTTCTTCCATTTCTTCCGCATAGTGCCTTATCGACACGGCCAAGAGCTCTTCCCCTTGGCGTTCCGTGGGATTAGATTTTCGGGGCCCAACATTTTTGGGCTGACATGTATGCCCGAACACGTTCTTCATAAGGTAAGCCCCTTAGTGTCCTTCCTTTTTTTTTCAAAGACTAGTGCCTTTGGTAGGTGTTCTTTTCCTGCCTTTCCGCGGTCGCCGTCCCCGAACGCGTCTGCCCCGCCATCATCGCGCTCCTTCTGGGGTTTTCCGGACAATTTTCGCAATGTGGGCAGAATGTGTGCGGCTTTCCGCACCTATAGCAGAATACCCTCCGCTCCTTAGATAGACAGTCTGTAAAAACGTGGTCGAACTGCATGCAATTCCAGCACACTTGTCGGGAAGAATTCCTGCCTCGCACGAAGGCCTCCTCCAGTTCTCCAGGCGGCGTTTCCGCACGATGTGGTGGTACTTCAACCTCGTGAACTGTCGGTTGTGGTCATTGCGAATAACGCGACTGCTGCACGTACCCGGTCCGGCTTCTGCAACCAATGTGCCTCTCCACTTCTATGCACTCTTTGCGCGGCTCATCCACTGTAAGTACATCAATAGCATATATATTGTAAGACTCTCCTTCAATCCACGCTTAATAATTTTCACTAGTTCGCGGTCTCCCAGCGGCTTCTAGAATCGCGCGGCGAGTTGACGCATGTGGTGGATGTAATCGTCCACTCTTTCGCTGGTCTGGTGCTCTCGCAGTAATAGCTCCTGCATTACATCATGCTCCGTCTGATAGCCCCGGAACCTGTCCAAGAGAGCATGTCGCAGTTGCATCGACCCTAGAATGCCGCACGTGCATCCAATACCACTCGCGGGCATGGCCGTTCAGGAGCATTGATACTGGCTCTGTAGGAACTACAAACGGAGCACGAAGTCCTCGACAGAATTCATTGCGTGCTCTCCGTCGAACTTGACGTTCCACCGCTCGAGCTTCAGGTACGCCGTTTCTCGTACGTCGGCATATGCTTCCTCCGACAGAAAGTCATCTGCTCTTCAGTCCTCTGGACTGCTGGACGAATACTCCGCTCCTCGCGCGCCTTGTCTGTGTGGCTTCGGTGGCACCGGGATGGCGCCTGTTTGCAGATCCGGCACGACATGTCTCGGCGGCATCGGCGCAGTGGTAGGCTCTCCGCTCTCCGATCCCCGGCGTGGATCCCCGGCGGCCTAAGCACATCAATGATGCCCTTAACATCACCATGAAGCCTGTTCGCATCTCCTGGCGGATAGAGTCGCTAATGCTGGATGGCAGGGTATGCAAATATGTCTGGTGGGCTTAAGCTATTGTCGCGTTCGCTACCGATGTGAGTACGGAATCCTTTGACGCTTTTGAGAAATCCAGGTTCCGTGGAGGTCTACCTTGTTGCGCCAATTCCGCCAATGTCTGTCAGGAAATTCCCGGAAATTCATTGGCGTTCTCACCAGACCTCCTGCCGGATGCGGCGGTGGCAGTTCCGATGCTCCGCCAGCGTCAGAAACCCAGTCAGACACCTGTTACTCAGTCATACTAATCCCTTAAATTAAATAAATATCGGCAACTCCCTATCGACAACAAAATCTTACACATAATAATAGATAAGGAAATAAATACACATCGACAACAAAAATAACTCACAAAAATAATTATTTTATGTTTTTAATTCAATTTCATATACTTCGGGGGGGAGAGAAGACAAATGACAAATAACAAAGACAAATAATACAGGCTAACTAATCTACGGACAATCTGGACAGTGGACAACATTTAAGCATTCGTCAAATGCTCAGTTCGTCAGTTTGACTGACGAACTGCATCCAATCAAAGCTACCTTGAAGTTTATTTGGCCTCTGACACAGTTCTGGACACTCTTGGGGCATGCAGTGTCTCATGCGCGGCGCAGGATCGAATCTACATCGTCCTGGGTCACCTGTCTCCGAACCTCAACTACGGTCAGCACACATCCAACATAAACACAGAATAAGACAAAACAGCTACTAAATTAATAAATAACATCTGACAAATCTACCCTTGTTAGCTTAGCTTTTATTTAATATTGCATGTGGCCTGTATGTTTAATGTTTAAATTTCTGTACTACGGTACAACTGATTTTACACGGGCTATTTATTTTTATTGGGC